GATAAGCCTGGGTGGGGAAGCTGCTACTGTGTGGCTATTGTAGCTCTTATGACGTGATGCCGTGAGGGGCTGCTCACGGAGAGAGGGGAACCCGTTCAAGAAGCGTTTTTCTTGGAATGGGGATTAGAATACTGTATTTTGACATAGGGCTTTTATTTTCGTCACTTTTTTTTTGAAGAGGTCTTCTCTACAGGGGGTATCGTAAGATTTTTTTTTTTAAGAGGTCAATCTTGCGTTGCAATTTCACAACTTAATTAGCAAAACTGATCAGCGCTTTCTTACTGGAAAGTGCCATGGTGTTAATTCTAAATATTTTATGTAGACGTTTATTTTAATTGGAAAATATATAGTAATATCATCCTTACTCATCATTGCATCCTATTGTGTGCAGTTGGGTACACACAAGAATGTATGGCAAGCCAGGAAGTCTCATTACCGCAGTAAAAAAAAATTATTTCATCTTAAGTATGCTTTTAAATTTTAGCTAATTAATAGTTACAGTAGTGTTGGTAAGCATTGTGTCTAGGTTGCAACTGGGCCAAGAGAATCTAAGGTTCACATTTTTAAAAGCACATATGACCAAGATATGATGGTCTTAAGAAATGCTGAGTAGCTACTGCTACCAGTCAGTTTTAAAAGTCAGGCATGATTGTTTACACCTAGAAAATGAAGCAACCAAAGCAAGTGATTAATTTCTGGAAATAGTTTCAATGACCTTTCTAGCCTCAAATAAAGCCTGTGGTAAAACTGGAAATTAAATTTGGGAAGACCTGTATGTGTGGGCATACTCAGATTGGTATTCACACAAACTGGCCATTCTGTACTTCTGAGTAAGCTTACATAACCTAAAATTTCTTACGAAATTTCACATAGGTTTAATTATTAAATACAAGTTCTTGCACTCTAAACTTTTATAGTGCCATTCCTAAATAAAAATAAAAACTCCATTTCTTTGTTCAACTAGTTTTAAAAGAACAAATTTTTCCAACAACCTTGGAGCCTTAACAGACAAAGGTTTCTTAGGTTGCAGTCCTGCTTCTTGTGCATCCTTCCTTTCTGTGCTAACATTCTTATTTGCTTTCCCTTCTGCCAAGCTGCCAAACCAGATGGGAAAAACAAAATGCTGTATCTTAAACCTCTAACAAAACTAGTAAGCTTAGTGGAAGGAGAGTGTGAAGGGGTAAGCCAGAAAAGATAGTAATTTTATTGGGACTACTAACCTGACTGTGGTAGCCAAATAGGTATTTAGTGGTGCATGTTGAACAAAGCAACAAGATTGTGAGGTTCTGGAGCCCTACTTGTATCTCTGGTTGACCCTAAGGATGGAGCACACAGATGCTGCATTGGTACAAAGCAAGAATTTTACAAGCAGATGCATATGCTGTGCTTTTCTTTCTAACCAGCTTGTGTAACAGCCTCTTTCTGGAGTGTTCACTGAAAGGCAGAGACAGTCACTCAACTGAGCAGTAGGAAGAGGGATAGGAGAATTGCCAAGAATGGGTACATCAATCAGTAATTGAGAGGAACATTTATTTGTGAAGGAATGTGGATAGCATGTGGGATAATTGTTGATCTTCCTTATTTTCCCGTATTTTTCCCCTTAATTTCCCCTTATTTTCCAGCAGATTCAAAGATCTCAAACAACTGTCCTGTAAAAACAAGGTGGGGAAAACAATCCTACTTGGCAACAATGAGGTAAGTTAAGAGGTTTTTTTAGACTAATATTTTGAAGTGTGATGTATGCACCATGATAAAAAAAATTGTCAAAACTTCTGTGGAAAAAAACACACAGATACTTTCTCAAAAATTGTAATTGATGGGGCTGCCCTGGATCACGTAATTTGATCAGAATTCCCTGCTGAAAACCTAGAAGTTACTACTGGAGTAACATGAGTACTATGCATAGATTAGTAACTGTTTAGTAGTAAGCTTAGAATATTCAACTTGTATTCAGCTCATGCTAATCTTGTGAGTAAAGGAGGAAGAACAGATGTGGATGACACATTTGAGGTGCAAGCTATGGAATGCAGTGGCTGCTGGATCCTGCTGAGATTACCAGTTATAAATGTCTCGAGAACTGGGAGCGCTACCCTTTGTAGGAGACACTTTTTAAGAGCTCCTGTTGAGTTCCAAAATCGGGAGGATCCAGAGACTCCTTCCTGCCTCATCTTACAGCTGATACATACCACCTAGCATCTGACACTGCCAGTTTCCGCCGAGTTCTAGATTTAGCAGACCAGCTGTTACTGATGTTGTTGCATTCTTGCATTACTCCGTTTGGTGAGTTTCTGTTGCTCCACCTGTGTTAATAGCCTCCGTTAGTATGATCAGAATTGTATTTTCCACATGAATAACCATTATCTAGCAGATAATACAAACTATTGGCAAAATGTCAAGCAAATTGGTGATATTGTTCCTTCTGTGCATAGTGCCTGAGCAATGGAAAAAAAAGAGCGTTTAACTTCTCCCTTTCTGCCAGAGCTCTTGAGGGGGCCCATTCTCTCCCTTTTGTTTCCCAGCTAAGGCAGAGCTCTTGCAATGATGAAAATGCCGAACCTCTGTACAAATTTGCTTTCTAATTTGGGTGATGCTGACATATGTAAATGTCCAGTCAAAAATGCAGTACTGAGAAAATAAGAGATGATTAACAATCTGGAGGTAGAGAATTACTCTAGATTCATATTCAGAGAAAAATGAAAATCAAAGTTAACCAAAAAGAGTGAAAAGGAGTTAAACATGGAAACCGAGTCCCAGAAGTATCTTTCTTGATAGTTGAAAGTAATTAGCCTAAGTCCTAATATCCTCCTTATTAATGTACTTAAATAAAGTCTACTTAATACTGTGAGAGTTTTGATTAAGTAAGTGAGATAAATGTACACGGGATTAATGACTTTTCCTTTCCTGTCACTTGTTTTAAAGGTATTTTCAGTTCTGTAAGCTTCCAGGAAGAGTTATGGGAATCCGCCTACTACGCTTGACTTCCGTGGTGATCATTGTCTTACTGCTTGTGGCAGGCGCTTTAACAGCTTTGCTTCCTAGTGTCAAAGATGACAAAATGCCCAATTTGAGAAGGGAACCAAAAGCCCAGAGTCATTCTGCCTTGGATGCATTTACTCTTATTATGCAGACATATAATAGAACTGACTTACTGCTAAAACTTCTAAATCATTATCAAGCCATCCCCCACCTACATAAAGTAATTGTTGTGTGGAACAACATTGGTGAGAAGATACCAGAGGAAATGTGGAATTCCTTGGGGCCTCATCCTGTCCCTGTTGTCTTTAAAGTTCAAACTGTAAATCGCATGAGGAATAGACTCCAGAATTTCCCTGAGCTGGAAACAAAAGGTAATCAGCAGTTTGTGTTGCTATTACTAATAATATTTTCACACTTAAAATCTGAACGCTAAAAGAGAGATGGTTTGAGTTACACTATGTAATAAATCCATGGATCTGTTGGACCTCTTAATAGAATGTGAGTAATATAGAAGAAACCTTTGTTATGATATCAGATGCACACCACCACCACCAGCAGGCTAGAGGCTCTCAGTGAGGAGTAAGGACAAAAGGGTCCATTTCATGGGCTTCTGCCCACCATTTTTTCCCATGGGCTTCTGCCCACCATGGGCTTCTTCCACCATTTTTTTTTTGTCGAGTATTTCAGCCTCTCTTCCCTTTCTGAAAGGAAAATCCGTAGTGCATGTATTTGTTGAGTCTCTGCCCTAATTTGGACTTAAGTCATCTGGTAAAGACTTGATTTAATCTATTCATTTTAAGACTAAGTTCTCAAGCATGCTCTGCCCTTCAGGGAAACTTCCCTCCCTAGCTGGCTTTCTATCTTAAATTACGCATCCTTTTTAAGAGTATTTTCCCCAGTCATTCGGCTATTCATCTAAATGTTCTTCCCAAGCTCTTTCCAGGAGAAGCACAACAATAAGCCCTGTTTGTTTCAAGTGGGAAAAAAACCCCCTATGTTGCATTACAGACCTAACCTTAGTCATGATTAGTAAAGGTAATTCTATTTACTGCCTGCTTCCTAACATGCCTTGCTACTCAAAACTCATGACTTCTGGGAAGACACTGGAAATTTCAACTTCTCAAGTGTTTTATTTACTCTAATAGGATTTATTCCAACTATAAACTTTAAAAGCTTTAATGGAACTGGAATTCTGATTTAAGAGTATCTTTCCTTTTCTACTTCCTCATAGTCTTTTGCCTAGAATTTAAGGCAAAGATTCTTCTTTCTGTACTTAAATAACATTGAATGTTGCCTCTGCAATTTATTAAGCTTGCTTATTTAGAAATTACGAGTAGTGAGGAGCTGGGTAAATTTTCACACTAAGAATCCCATATAGATCTCATATATTAAAGAATGGTATCTAACTCTTTATTTTAGTTGTATTTTTACACAAGATTAGTAGAATTTTAAGTTGCTTTGCCAAACACTCCCGAGTTTGTCCAGCTGTACTACAGATGGTCGAAGGTTCCCGAGTTTTGTTACAGCCTGGTAAGTAATCTACAACTTCGGTTTGCTTCCAGTTACCACAAAGATTCAACCTTGCTTTAGCTTTGAAATCTAAATATGTTTTCTCGATCTACTTTCAAGGAGTCACAATTCATCTCTGAGATTAATTCATCTCTCAGCTTAATGGTGACAGAAGTTTCACAGCTAACTTGTCAAATACTGTGCTGCACACTGTACTCATGTGTTTAATCTTCTGATAAAAGTTTTTATTTCTCTTTTCTCCCCTCCAGCTGTTCTAATGATGGATGATGATACACTAGTCAGTGCTCATGACCTTGCTTTTGCTTTTTCTGTTTGGCAGGTAATGTTTTGCACCTTGGCAGGCAGTATTTGTGAGTTACAATTGAGATTAATGGTTTTAATTAGAGTAATACTATATCATAATGCTTTACCATTGATTTTCTAGCTACAAAGTTAAATTTTAGAAGGATTGAAGCATTGAACAGTAGAAATTGCAAAAACATTCTTCAATAGCGGCTAAATCTGTAGTCTGTAACTTTCAAATTTTTAACTTCTTGTACATGAACACTGAAGTTGCTGACTGCTGAATTTGTTTAAACTGATAGTAGGCTGTCAAACAAGTGTTGGGTTTTTTTAAGAGAAATTGTCTGTAAACTTGTTTTGAGGGCCAAATACAAAGCTGCAAATTGTGTATAGATGTTTCTTGGCACTACATGATATGGAATGAGGCATATTGTGTCAGTTTTTCAAAACTGTTTTTAATTGCCGCATTTATGCAGATCACAGTACCATATGCCAACAGTTTCATTGTTTACAGGCAATAATTTTGTGCTCCTCATTTAAAAAACCCACCATAAATCACTCTTATGAAAATACTTAACATACATTTCACAGTGTGGGCTTCATTTTGATTTTTTTTTTTAATTTCTTTTTTCTTTCAGCAATTTCCAGAGCATATAGTGGGATTTGTTCCTAGAAAGCACATTTCTACTCCTTCAGGCGTATACAGTTACGGCAGCTTCGAGTTGCAGAACCCCGTATTTGGAAATGGAGATCAGTATTCTATGGTTCTTATTGGTGCAGCATTTTTTGATAGTGGGTATTTAGAAGACTTTCAAAGACAGCCAGAAGCAGTTTACGCTTTAATAGATGAAACTCAAAATTGTGATGATATTGCCATGAATTTTCTGGTAGCCAAGCATACTGGAAAGCCTTCAGGAGTGTTTGTGAAGCCTGTTGATATAAGAAATTTAGAAAAAGACACTAACAGTGGCTATTCTGGAATGTGGCACCGAGCAGAGCACTTGTTACAGAGATCTTACTGTGTAAATAAATTGGTTAATATTTATGATGGCATGCCTTTAAAATATTCTAATATCATGATTTCTCAGTTTGGTTTTCCTAATTATGCCAATCACAAAAATAAAATGTAAGCCAGTGAATTTAAGGCGTTAGATGTTAAACAATACTCAGTGAATTGTACTGAGCTCAAGGAGAGAAGAAGGTATAATTACTGCATCTTGGCCATCCTTATTTGTAGCCTCTGATTTTTTTTTTCATTTCTCTTTTAATGTATTTTTTTTCTTTCTTACTAACTTTCCAAGGTAAGTTTTGAGAAAACTTGAAAATATATACTAATATTTAGCTGTGATAAAATCATCCTCTTTCCTTAAAACCTATTACAGTTACTTAGGCCAGTTCTTCAGAAACGTGCAGACAAAAATGCACTCCTACCCTTCAGTGCTTATGTTCTGACTTTTTTTTTTCTTAATATATGTATCTAGTCAAATGAGGTCAGGGCATATTTCTGATAGTTATATGTTGAGGTGCTTCCTTGCATTTCCCCTCCTCTCCTCACCTCCTCCTACCCAGTTCCCAGCAAAACTGTAGAAGGCCTACAGTAACTCTTGGCCAAGCTTCTAGACTCCTGTAAAAACCCTTCTGAAGTTTGTATATAAGCTATTCTGTATTCTGAGATGTTCCTAAAGCTGCTATGAAAGCAGGCCAGAAAAGACTATCTCACCTTAATCTTGGATAGTCCTAAAACCATTGCCTGCAATATCTACTACAGCTAAGACAGTGAAAATGATCTTGTTGAAACACTGCAAGCAGTTGACAGGAAACACCTAGCAGTTGGAGATAAAAGTAACATGGATACATGAAACAGGAAATTTATATAAGCAGCCAGAAGAAATGGATGGGATATTACTTTATTAATAGTCTCTTTAGTACTTAGTTTTATTTCTATATTTTGCGTGTACATTGTTACAAAAAATGTGCCCAAGAAAATCCTCACTTATCTTAAAATAATGTCTTATTCACAATTGCTAGTAAGAGCAACCTGTTCTACATTTATTACAGGGTGTACATTTTGTAATATTACAGGTCTACTGGTTTTTTTTAACTACTATTTCAAATGAATATTACTTTACTTTTTGGTTCCTTTCATCTGTTTTTGGTGGCTATGACAACAGAATTAAAATGTGCAATGAATGGGTAAAGCATTAAAAAAAGTATTTTAAGGTACAGTGATATTTGACAGGGCTGGACTGTTACCAGTTCCTGAATTCCCTAGCTTCATCTATAGCATGAAACAGCTATTATTAACAGTTTTTGTTAGCCTGGGATTTGTAGGTCTGGAAATGTTTTGTTAACACAGACAGGGCATTTCATTACAGTTACAGAACTTTTTTGTGGTACAGGGGAAAGAACAATAAAGTTATTTTCCTGGATCACAGAGAGGAATCAAATCTGGCATCCAATGTAGATGTAGTTTCCTCTGCATCAGTGTTTAATTGATTCTTAGTATCAGTTCAGAGGTATCTATAGGCAATCAATAACAGCTCATACCTAGTACACAAATAGCATCTGCACAAATGGTATATAATGCTATCATTTTTTGTAATAAGCTGAACAAAAAGTGGTTAAAAATGTGACATGTTCTTCACAGCAGGGCTGCTTGTGCATGTGAGTCTTTGGGGGAATGGAGGATTCTTTTACCTTGTTCTATCAGTGTTAAAGGATCTGGTTTCTGTTCAGTGAAGTCTTCCTTGTACTTCTGCAAGATTTAAAGGGCAAAATCTCAAAACAGCAATGTAAAGTCTGCATAATTTTGTTGTAATAGTGAAAAGTAGCTTTTAATTATTGTGCTGTAGTGATAAGTAGTATACAAACAGGTCTATGATCTTTCCAGAAATGCAGCTTTCCTAGCGGTAGTTGACTACATTTCATTTACTTACTGGTCTTCTGTAATTTCTCTTCTGTGTGTATCAACTAGAATTGCAAAGACTCACAGATGTTGTTTACCTTACTTTTAAAATGTGAAATGAACTGTCAACTCAGCCAAATCTTCGTATTGGGCTCTTTGTTGGGGAGGAAGGAGTTGTGGGTTGTTTGGTTTTCTTTGTTCTTCTGTATCAGTGAAAGAATTAATAGAACAAGCTTTTATTGTACTAGTGAATTTAATTTGCACCACTGTCAAATAAAATACCTGAAACAGATTTGCAGTGTGTTTGTTCATTGATGAAGTTTTTCAGTGTTAATGTCTAAAGTAAGCTCACTGCTTGCGTACAGATGCGCCGCACAAAGATTTCAGGTTTGTTTTTTTTAAAAGTATACTTGTGAGGGGAAACAGCCATCGAAAACCAGAGCCTTATGCAGATAGGCTTAGATAGCAAAGAGAATTCTAAGACTTCAGCTCTAGCCATAATTCATTGTCCTTAGGAACCAAAAGGGGTTGGTTTGTTTATTTCCTTAAGGGCTGGTAGTTTTTTATCCCTTGATGGTTATAAAAGTGCTTTAAGATTCTTTAATGAAATAGATTACTGATAGTTTATATTTTTAACAAGATAATATGCATGTGATGATTTCTTCTAAGAGATTAACTAGATGTCATTTGGAAACACTTTGCAGTCTAAACAGGTTCATCATGATGTTGTGTAGAAATGAATGTTTATGCAACACAGGATTTTAAAGATGGTATCTAAATGATACATTTTAAATCCTCATTGAGAAAATCAAGATACAGTCTTAAAATGACACAGCAGGGCTACAAGAAAACTGCTGCTTTGCCTACAGTTTAAAGAATGCCACAAGATGTCACTATAGCTTTGACATTGGATATCATCAAATGTTAACAATAGTAATTGGAATTGATTATAGCAGTAAAATTGTATAAGCTTAAACCATTCTTAAAGCTGGCATGTTTCAAGGTGAAATTCGTTAAATAATGATACTAAGAGTTATGAGAGACAATACTGGAATTGAAAAACATGTTATTTTGTATATATTTTTACAAGGAAGAAGAGGAAGATTATTTTTCAGTATTTTCTATGCTTACAAAGTCTCTAGCTGATTGCAACAAATGAGAGCTTGCAAGCAATCGCAACAGTATTTGTAATTTTGCAGAACGTATACAAACAACATTTGACAGCAGAGCTTCAGTTTCTAGTTATGTTTCCCTTCTAGATTCACCAGCCTAGCTGGATGGATTTACGAATGATGGGCTTTAACACAAACTATACGTATAGGGGTTCTATATATGGGACAGCTAGCCTGTTACACTGCTCCATCTTGGCTTCTGTTGCCCAAGATACCTTAATTAAAGCTAATTTGAGTATGCTCAGAAAAACTCCCCTTGAGTGCACTACAGACTTAGAAGTATGTTACATTGTGCTGTAGTGGAAGTTTGAGTAAAAAAAGGGTGTTAAAAATACTATTGTTCTGGAGAAAATACACTGATACCTCGTTTCTTACACAGGATATGTTACCCTTTAGAGAACTGCTTGTAAATAAAAAATTAAATTCTTGGTTTAATTAAGGGTTAAATACAAGCAGAAGTCATATAAAACAATACAGGAAAACAACACATTGATTTCCACAAAAAGCAAGAACCTTAATTTCATTTGCTGTTACAGAAAACTAAGATCTCAGTCTTGCAAGCAACTTGCATGGAATAGTTGTTACTACTGAGAGCAAGGCTTCCTCCCTGCGTTCACAGGACCAGGCCCAACAAGAGTCATATTTAAGAATATTAGTTCTGGAGCTATGGAAAAAAGAAAAAGGAAAAAAAAAATAGGGATGTAAGAACACAGGTGCAAATTACTAGAACCAATACAAAAAATAAACAAGCAACTACAAAACAATTACATTGAGAGAAGTATTTTCTATTATACTTTGGTGTATTTGTAAGGTCTTAAAGGTTATCTGGTGCTTTAGATAAAAATTGAAGAGTCAAAACACTCCTGTTTAGCCCCATCTGCAGACACACTACAATTAATTATATGAACTGGTAGTTACAGTAGGTTATTTATAGTGTTAGAAAAACATGATGATAATGTGGACCCCAGGGCTGCATATTGCTTTGTATTACAATCTCTCTTTAATGTGTTTCAAGGGTGGGGTTTTTTGTTTTGGGGAAGAACAGCACTTTTTTTTTTTCCTCAAGGTACCACTCCTCTGCAACGTTTTGCTTCTTCAGTTGTAAAAATGAGATGGACCATCTGCTCTGTTTGACACTTAATTCCTTCTAAAGGGGAGGGTGGGTAGACGAATGGTATTTCTAGCACTTTTAAAGCTTCTCTTTCTTTGGCAGTAAGTTAATTGCAGGCTACAAGCTAACTGAGCTTTCGCAAGTGAACCACCAGAAAGTCAATGGATCACTTTTTTAAAACATCAAGCCACAAGTAATTTTGTGTAGCTTTACGACAGCTTAGAAGCATATGTGAAGCTCTCCATCGCTGGATGCCTTCTCAGTGCAGATCGAGCGCCCGTGCGTTGGGACTCTCCCGCGACAGGGGTGCGTGTCGTGTCCCGCCTTTCCGTTGGCAAGCGGCTTTTCCCGAGACTTCGCTCCTCTCAGGTCCCCCCAGCACATGACAGCTCCTCAGCCGAGGGCGGGAGGGCCGCGCAGGTGACAGAGACCCCGGCGAGCAGGAAAGGAGGCGCCTGCATCTGGCCGTGGGGCTCAGCTGAGGAGGGCCCCGCTCACCAGGCACCGTTTGGTCATTGGTTGGAGACGTAGAAGGCAGCTTTTGATTGGCGGGTCGGTTTGTCTATCAGGCTAAACGTGGCACAGACTCTGGCGGCCCAGGCCTTAAGCGAGTAAGTGTCCCTCCCAGGCAGGGGAAAGCGAACTCTGCTGGCAGACCGCTCCCCTTCGCCCCTGAGGCGGCCTCCGCGGCTTGTTCAGCTCCATCCTCAGCTGGACCCGCGCTGCTGAGGTCCCAGCTCTGGCTGAGGTCTGCTTCCCGCCACCTCAGGCCCTGCGAGCTGTACTTCAAGTCCTCCTCAGTCTCCGTGGGGCGTTTTGCCACGGGCCGCCCTTAGACGGGGACAGAGGAGGAAAAAGCGCCG